CGCTCTTCAGGACAGCCGTCGGTAAATTGCTGTGGCTAGCATTCGTCCGGCCAGACAGGAAGTCTACGAGTGGCAGTACTGCACAGGTATTGGGCTCGGACATGATTCACACCAGCCGAACCCAAGCGACTGTGGCATTGTCGTCAGGCGAAGCCGAACTGTATGCCATTGGACAGGGCACTAGCGAAGCATTGTTCTTGAAATCATTGATTCTCGAGGCAGAATTTGCTAAGCGTGTCAACATGGTAGTATATACGGATTCGACAGCAGGACGATCCATTGCAACGAGATTCGGAGCAGGCAAAAAAACCAAGCACGTCGAATTGAGATACTTGTACATGCAAGACCTCGTTCGAGCAGGCATATTGAGCATTCGTAAAGTGAACACCAAGCTCAACCCCGCTGACATATTGACCAAGTATTCCCCGACTGAGGTTCTTAGGAATCTCACACACAAGTTAGACATTGTGAACATTGCCGACGAGTTTCACATAGACCCCTAAAACCAAACAAAAAAATTGTTTCACATTGCAAGCTAGGTTTCATTTGAGGAACCGACTGTCTTGACACAAGTGCGTCGAGATTGCATCTCCGCCTTACCAAAAGAAAGAAGAGAGAAAGAAGTGAGAAAGAAGAAAGAGAGAGAGAGAGAGAGAGAGAGATAGATTGAGAGTCAGACATGTCAGTTCTCCGCAAGCATGTTGGTTGATTGAGATTTTCCGATTTTTTTCGGTATTGCCCATTTTTATTAAAGGCATCGCCACCGCCGATTGTGCTGGCCAACAGGGCAGTTGGAGCACAGTCAAAATTGCATCTTGATTGAATTTGAGCGAGTTTGAAACGATGTGTCCAAATTTGTACATAGTGGATGAGACAGGAAGCCTAGAAAAACTGCATCGGTGTACAGCATTTCGAGCTTCTTGAATTGCATGCCAGTGATTGAATCTTGATTTTGCTTCTGCTTGCAGTCATTGATCAGCGATTGCGATGACAGCATTCTCATTGCGACTGATTATGCCATGGCATCCTCAGCAGCAGCGTCGCCGATTGACACTGCTCAGCAATTGATCACTCAGGCCCGTGGAGTGATTGACAACTGGGATTCACACAGAGTTGTCACTTGGGCCCAGACATTGATTTCAGTGCTCGTGGTTGGCGTCTTCAAAGAGACGTCGACGACGGTGACACTGAGCCCTTGGATTAGCATTTACATGGAAATGCTGATATTGATGAGTCAGATTGTGACTACGAGGGCATTGACCAATCAGCGATAGCATTGGTCTGGATCCAATTGGAGCGTTCATTGGTTCTAGCAAACCAAGTTCCACTGCAGGATTGAAAGTGTTTTAATTGTTTCGCTTCAACATTGATCCAACAGCCGTTCATTGCGACTTCGCTGATTGCTTCTACCTCCATGCGCCCTGACGGGAGAACGAGAATCATTGTCGAAGCAGGCACGACTGTGCAAGTCGGCCCCTCACAGCGCCCATTGCGCTCACGCAGGGGCTCAGGATTTTGCTGCATTGCCCTAGGCAAGTCTGATTGTGCACACCGAAGCAGCTTTCTGCGGGATGACAGCACATTGATTGACGAGCTCTGAGCATTAGCTTCCACAATTGTTTTGCAGATTCTAGCATGAGTGGACATTGCACACGTGCAGCGTGCAAGGAACCGTGTTAGATTGTGCACTTGGCTCAAGATTGATCTGATTGCTCGTGAGAAGATCGTCGACCGAACAGATTGCATTCTGAAGCTGATTGCATAGGCGTCTGCGCATTTGAATTGATTGCATACGGCACCAGATTGCTCATGGAATTTTGCACTCAAAACCAAGCCGGCTTCGCGGCGTTCTACCGCTTCATACAAACGGATCCCAAGCTCCTGCAGAACATGCCGACTGGCGAAACGATCCTAACAACCTTCATGGCATCAAGGAGCGGTGCGCCACTCCCGTACGTGTCACTTCACGGCGTCGTCGTAGCTCAGCCAGGTAGCCTCGTTCATAATCGTTCAGATTCCCAAAACAGCTTCCTCATCATTGCCCAATGACTGCACCGGTCAAGGTGGAGCTGAAAAGCAAGACACACCGTATTGCGTGTGGTAATGCACAGAACTACTGCTCGACCCTCGCTGCTCCGGAAATAACAAGACACGTCAAACGCGGAAAATCGTTCGTACGCCGGCGAAAAGGGTGAACGACCCCGCAACTCCAATCAACAGTCTTGGTATTTGACGAACCGGTAATGATGTCTGAGACTTAGGTCACTTTGTCCAATTTTTCTGAAATGAACACGCACACGCTTCTCTTCTTTGTTTCATTTCATTTTATTTTGCTCCCTTTTTTTGCCTTTGGAGTACAACTAATTCACGGACTCAACACCTGACTACGGACTGCAGTGCATTCACCAAAACGCAAGCGAACTAGAAATACCATACAACAATAGTGCTACAGTCGCGGTTTGGCAGGCATGTAACGTGAGGCTGCTCACGAGTTTGTGTTATCCAGGCCGCAAAGCAAACCAGCATAATTTGCCTTGCATCAAGCCAGAGAATCTCATGAAGAAAAGCTTTGATTTATTCGAATACTGGGTTTTGTGTCAGTACTTTCAACTCAATAGATGTTCTCCGCCAACGCCTAGCGCGGCTGTAGAGCACGGTCTCGGTTGACCTGCCGGAATGGCAGGAAACGAAGCAAACTCCGATTGAGCCGTGTCGCCAGCAATCAGCCATTTGGAAGATGGGAGGATTGGTCAACCAAACAATGCAACTTGCTGCTGTACTGACTGAGTTTGAAGCAGATGGCATAAAACGCAAGTCGGCTTGTCCCGCCTTGTCACCAACTCCTGCATCCAAGTTTGGGCTCTTTGCACAACCGTGCTTCACACCAATCGCACATTCATGGTTTGACTCGTGTGCTCGTGCATGGGGATCCGTTCTTTCTGTGACTCTCGTTCCCAAGTACGGAGGACTTTTTGCGTTTGACCCGAAAGTTTTGAGGGGTAGCTACCCTTTGGACTTGCTTTTCTCCTCGATGTTGTCGTGGCTGCTGGTCTCAGTGTACTGTCAAATCTTTCATGGATCTGTTCGTCATCCAGGTCGGCGAACTTGTCGAGCAACTGTTGTGCTGTGCTGGATCCTTGCATTTTGTTGTTTGGTGAGTGGTCTCAAACGTAGTGTTTGTGACGTATCAGGAAACACAAAGCGACCCAGGGAGGACTCGAACCTCCATAATTTGCTGTGAATCAAGCCAGAGGCTCATCAAGCAACGCCTTGTCCATTAGGCTACTGGGTCTTGTGTCAAGCCGAAAAATTTTCGTTCCATGCGAGCAGATTGAGGAGTACGAGTTTGCTGTGCGCCGCCTTACCCACCAGGCTACCCGGTCAAACTTGCAGTGAGACCATCGTGCCAGTGAAAGCCACCCAGGACTTCTGATGTGGGAACAAAAAAACAATTTCGCCTAGCGCATGTGGCACGCGCACGCTAACTCATTTACCAATCGAGAGTCGTCAGATCAGCATTTTGTGATTTCAAATGTGTTTGAAATTTCTGTTATAAACTGAATGCCAACACGGCTACCGTTTTTCAATGCAGCTGGCATCTGCTCACATAGGTACCAAATTGCTTGGTGCGTATCGCCCACTTGAGCATGGCGCAGCCACCCCGGATGCCAAATCCCAAACTGCTGTCGATCCGGGTGGTCGGGCAGGGAAAGATAGGGTGCTGTGAGAGCACCGGTGAAGATGAGTGCTGGTTTCGGGGCTACCAGACAAGTGGCGATGCCCAATTTCGGGATGCAGGATCCTTCTCACGTCAGAAGCTGAAGATTAACCTCATTCCAACAGTCTCAGCCTGCACACGCTCAAAAATGGACAGTCCGGGGATTGAGCCCGGGGCCTCCCGCATGCTGAGCGGGTGTGATACCACTACACCAACTGCCCTTCTGAATATCGAGTACAAATGATTGTGTTTAGGAGTACTTCCAGGGGGTCATGAGAGCTGCCGTGCCTGATCGGGACGAAACTATTATTTTTGGTTGCATTCGGCTCTGCTGACATCTGCGATCAAACCGAAACTCAAGCTGCAGACGGGCCAATGTGCTGACCATGACTAGAGAACAGTGGGACCAAGTCTCATGTTTGCCGGAGGGCCAGTGCGTAAGCCCGATTGCACTTAATGAAGCTCCTCACAAGTGAAGACCTGGAGAACTTTGCTAAAAGTGCAGCAGACCAAGAAAAGGATTGCCGCACAATGAGGACGGTTGCCAAGAAAAAGGTACATGTCCAGGAAGCAAAAGCAACAAAGGAGACGTGGAGCATGCTGCTCACAAGAATAAAGAGCTGAGGGACATCGTGGCCGATTTCGATAACAAATTGCAGAAATTGCATGATTTCCTGATCTCCATTAGAAAGGCCTAGACCCATCCGATGCAAGAAGGCCTTGGGTGAGTTCGTAGATTTCAGCAACGTGATGATGATCCATCAAAAAGGTGTTGTACAAACATGAAGGTCTCAATGAAAGCCCTCATCTAGCTGCATGGATGGTGCCCATTGCTTGCAATGAGTTTTGGCAATAGTTATCGCTATAGCTCCTGGATCCGATCGCCAATCCGGGTTTTCGATGATCTTTTTTCGAGGGCTAGGTGCTACTTAAAGGGCCGGTGTGGTTCGCAAATGAATAACAGACTTCTCTTGTATGTTAGGTTATAAATGCAGTAAGTCTGGTTATAAGTTCAGCAACTATGCTATGTGGAGAGGTAAAACTTACAGTGTAAGTGAAGGTGTGAGTTAATAAGTGACTTACCATAACTCAGGTAAGTAACTTAGGTGACTTGGGTATTCGTTTGTAAGTCAGATAGACATGGTCTCTGGCCAGGAGATGATGGGAAGGATGTTTTTCTGCACGTCCAATGAAGTTGGAAGCTTTCTTTGCATGAAGTTGGAAGCTTTCTTTGCATGTGAGAAAAATGATGCGAACCTTTCTTCCTATGCTCAGAGCATGCATGCAGCTGCAGTCCTTTCTGGAGGAAGCTGCTGACGGAGAGAAAATGGTTAAAGTGGTTGAAGCCACCTTGGACTTGCTCAGGAAGAACCACCTGCTGGACCTTGTGGACAGCATCATCGATGTGGGGTTCGTGAAGGCTACGTACTCCTACTGCCTGAAGGCCAGCGGGGGCCAAGAGGCCGTACATCTCAAAGAAACAGAGCTCTTTGTGCGGGCATGCTGCCCGAGCTCAATGTTGGCTGTGCGGGCCATGCTAAAAAAGCAACTGGGCGCCTTGGCTTGAAGCAGAAGGGCGAGAAGGACTACAGGACCTTGCAAGCCGTGGCCCATGACTTGTGGCCCAGGAACTCACTGGGAGGACCCTTCCCTTGAAATGGCAAGGCTTCGCCGAGGCAACAGCAGCACCTGCAGCGGCAAAGGCATCGCCGTCGAGTGCACCGGTGCTGCTTGAGTTGGATGAGCATGGTGCAATCAAGAATCCGCTTTGCTGGAATCCCGAGGCTATGCATTGGGCAGGAATGTGAGGAGGCGAGCTGACAAGACCACTGGCAAGATCCAAGATGTGAAAGGCGGCCTTGTGTACATCCAGTTGGACTCCGGCGACGTCGCGAAGGAATCCATTGACAAGATTCTGGGAAACGAGTGGGCCGTCTTCACCCCCAAAAGTGAAGCAGAGGTACTGGAAGATTTGAGCATCTACAGCCCTTCAACGAGTGTTGAGCTCCAGGCCTTCATGCTCCAGGCAGAGATCGCGAGGCAGCTTCAGAAACTTTTTGATGAACAGTCCTCCGGCATCGACAAGCTTGCCTTGCAAACGAAGCCCCAGAAGCAGCTTCAGGCCTCGCAGGACATCCCCAAGGGAAAGGTGACATTGGTGCCATTGACGAGCAAGATCCTCCACAAGGGCTCCAGCCAACCGAGCTGGTTCGAGGTGACGACGGACTGGACGATGGATGCGAGGAAGTTCTACGTGAGCTCCTCTTGTGTGCTGCCCAAGGAAGATGATGACAAGATCAAGCCTCTCATAGTCCCGTTTTTCTTCGTGAACTACACAGAGGACGAGGACCCAGACCCCCGGGAGGATCCAAAAAGTAGATCCCTTAATGGGGGTTCCTACAAAGTACCCTTAGTAGTACAAGGCCCCAAATTGGGGGATCTACTTTCTAGATCCTCCCGGGGGTCTGGGGACGAGGCCAACGTGAAGTTGCAGCCCATGCAAGCAGAAAAGTCTTCCTCCATCAAGATCCCCGTCTTCAAAAGCACCAAGAAGATTGCTGCCGGGGAGGTCGTTTTGTGCTATAAGGCCAAGGACCTTAAAGCTCCACCCCTCCACCTCTCCCCCAGTGCGGCGAAGCGATCGTCGTCCGGCGGAGTGGCAGTTGCAGCGAAGAAGAAAGCGAAGAAGTGAGAGGCATGTGATTTCTATATATGCATCATGTGCACATGTGGATGGCATTGGAACGAAGGCCCGGGCACAGCCTCATATTGGCAACCTGACACCATGATCAGGCGCTTTTCAGGCGGCAGGGCGGCACGATCGGCATAAGCAGAGGTCCAGCTGCATTGGTTCACAGAAATTGCGATGCTTGAGCATGTTTGTTTTCTCTTGACTTTTGCATGCAAGCCTTGATTCAGTGCAGCATCGAATGCATTGTTGCAGCAGTGCATGCAGGGTTTGCACTTGAGTTGTGCTGGAGCCGCCTCAGCAGGGCAACTTTGCTCGCTTGGCAAGCTTTGCATCTCAAGGACAGACACAGTGAGAAGCTGTTGAGTCGCCATGGCAGAGGATCCCCACTCAGAAAATAGCGGACCTTTTTCTCCTTCACGAAGTGGTCTGCACAGCTGACTCGCATGATGACCGGCAAGCGACTTCAGCTTGCGGGTGGGCGGGCTGCAGAAAGTGGTTCCTTGAACGTGCCAGTGATCGGCAAGATCTTGGAAGCCCGGCAGTCGGCCTGCGACAAAGCCCTTGAGGAAGCTCTGAAAGTCGAGGATGGGTCGGGCGACGAGGATGAGAAGCCGAAGAAGAAAGCCAAGAAAACCATTCGAAGGGCATCGGCCAAGGACCTCCACCTCCTTCCTGAAATAGTCGACGTGTCGGTGGCTGAATTCCAGATGTCCTTGCTTTCGGAGGGGCTGTCGACTGGAACGATCTGGATGGAGCTCCGTCCCGAAAACCTCTCCTGGCTCAAGTCTTGTGTCGACAAGGAAGAGGCAAAGCCTCGTCAGAAGAAGGGGGAGGCCAAGCCAAAGCAGTGATGCCATCATGCTGTCCGGGAGGTTCAGAGAACCTTATATATGTGGCAAGTTTTGTGCAATCTGCCATGTTTCAAAAACCCGTCTGCATGCACTACATACGTGCTTGCAATGTACAATGATGACGATGGAAAGTTCATGGGCAGGGTGGGTTCTGAAACCTGCTGGCGAGCTTGCAGCCCTGCCTGCGGTGCGACACACGAGCTTGCAAGTCAGTCTCTGTGTTTGTCCGTGTGTGTGTGTGTGTGTGTGTGTCTGTGTGTGTGTATCTGTGTCTCTGCAGCAGTGGCAGGTTGCCTTTCCGTTTGCAAGGTCATGCACTGCACATGTGCGGTATATATTGAGCTGTGATCATCAGCTGCTTTTCAGCTCAAGTTGTTTGCCTCCCACGGGAGGCTGGGTCCTGTTTTGCCATGCTGGCTTTCGGCTTTTTGGATGGCCACCTGCCAACGGCGGAGGAGGCCATGGAAAGAGGGATGCACGAGCTTTTTTTGTTTCTGTGCTTGCAATGAAGGCGGACAGCTTCGAGGCCTGCGGCCTCATGGAGCCGTTCACTTGCAAGGCCAAGGGCAAGTGGTACAACGACAAAGGCGGGTTTGCCCAGCCTTTTGCAGAGATACGGAGTTAACAGACAAAACCATGCAGGAGCCGGGATCAGCTGGTCTGCCACCATGGGGTGGAAGGTCCTGGGGGCTGGAGGTGCCATGGGCTCTCACATGGGTTTCGGGGTTGCAGGGCTGAGGGATTCTTGCATGAACTGGCAGGAGAGATCTTGTGGACCCACCCGGAGAAGAAGCGGGAGGATGTGCCGACCAGTGGCTGGGTCTACTGGGACGGCACACCCGCGGCGATCTGTGTGGAAGGCACATCTTAAGATGACTATATAATAGTATATGTATATATATATATATATATATATATATATATATAGATATATGTGTCTTTACATGTATATATGTATAAATGTATATATATATATATATATATATATACCCTGCAAGTCCAACCCACCGGTTAAACGGGTGCGTTCAAGTAAACCACGCAAAACACTGAACACACCTCAAACACTGAATTTAACACTGTTTCAGTGGATGATAACACTGCTTTCTTATGCACAAAGTTTCACAGTCATTGGTGGTGGTTTCACAGTTATTTGGGTGTGTTTCACGGTTTTCTGGTGTTGTTTCACGCTTTTTTCACGCTAGTTTCACGGTCAGCTGTTTGGTGTCTTGAGCCTCTGCATCGATGACGCCTGGTGTGGCGCCGTCCAACCCACCAGTTAAACGGGTGCGTTCACAACCCACCAGTTTAACGGGGTGGCGGACGCCCAGGGTATATATATGCATATATATATATATATGCATATATACATATGCATATATATATATATATATATATACATATGTATATATGTATATATATATATATATACATAATATGTATACCATATCATAAATCACTTTATAGAAGAACTGCAAATAGAATCTGTATAGATCGACATAGATGAATATAAACCCTAAACCGAAACCCTATAAACCAAAACCCTTATATAAACCCCTGAAAAAACCCTAAACCCAATATCAACCCTAAACCTATACATACCTCTGGGCAGGACACGAGGACTCGCCAGTCTACGAAATGGTGGAGGTGGAAGATGAAGAGGAGGAGGGGGATGCAGGCCGTGCAGGGTTTTCGCCTCCTGCCCTCCTTGCATGTGTTGTGCACGGCATGTGAAGGCAAAAAGCCGGCCGTGGTCTTGAAGGCCACCCCCAAGATCAAGGCCTGCAAGCTAGGTTCTGGAGTTTCTCATTTGTATATATGTGCCATATACATATATCTCCTTTGGCAGGACAACAAGAAGCGGCCCATGGAGCCGGCGGATCCGCCGCCAAAGAAGATGAAGGCTGGAACTATAATGATTAAAAGGTTTGGCTTGAGGTTGAAAGTACATCCTATCTATACATATATAGATAGGATGACATTGGATCTTAGATTAAATTAGATTAGGTTGCTTGGGTGAAGTCAAATGAGTATATACACAAGGTTTTATAAGGATTATACATAAGTATAGGTATGTAGCAGCTTACAAAGCTTTTAGGTTAAGTTAGATAATAGTTTGGATTAGATTATATAAGATATAGATGCAGAGATACACAGATATCTGTATACATCCTGTGTACATATATATATTTAATATACATATATATATATATATATATATATAGATATTGTACATATCTAGAAAGGATCCCAGGCAGGGCTTCTAGCTCGCCGGCAGGCTTCCTATATAAATCTTATAAATATCATAAAAGCCTTGTATAGAAACCCCCGACGGCTGGAATGCCTTCGTGTGCGGTAGTTTGTGTCACTTCATTACAGGAACAAAATGTTGAGCATAGGTGCACTTTGGCATGTCCGGACGGGCGATAGGGGGCACAGCTCAAAGGCTGGCGCTTTCTTATCGGATAGGAATACCTTGATAAGATGTTGGGTTTCTGGATAGATTTGTAGGTGGGGAGCCTGCCAGCATGCTCTGTCTCTGACATGATTATACAGTGTATGAGAGAACACTGTACTGTCAGGGGCACGGCAAGATCGCCCACGAGGAGGCTCGGGCCCAATTCTTCAGCAAGCCCGTCCCAACAAATAGAAGTGATTGTGCAGCAGGACGACCAGGATGGATGGAGCCAGGCCGGCATTTCTTCTTGGCTTGGAAGCATGCAGGGTTCTGTGTGCCACAGTAGGACGGGAAGTGGAAAGGAAGCGGAAGCTCCAGTGCAGCAGGTGCACCGAAACCGATTCATTGTGAAACCCCTGCCCTTGCAAGCCTTCTTTGTTCATTTGGACAGGATGGAAGAAGCCCGTGCCGAACAAGGGCAGAGGCAGGTGTTTGGGGAGTCGAGGTCAGCCGGCTTTTATATTCTGCTGACAACAGGCAGCTTGGAGGGGCTTTCTCGAAGGGCGGCCACTACGTGATGGCCCACTACGTCGACGAAAGCGGGAAGGCCGGAAGCATTGCCACTGCAGTGGGCCGGATCGTTCGTTCCAGCCTGGCAGGCTTGCCCTCCAGGGGCAGGTCGGACCCGTGGCCGGACCTGTGGAGGAGCTGCCATCCGCTTGATCGAGGCGAAGCAGCAGGCCAAGGACAGCACCCAGCACTTGGAGGACACCCTTCTATCAACCCACCCCCCCAAAAAACAATGCATGAAGCCAGGACCTGCGAACCTCGGTCTCGACGATGCACCTCATGGCGAAAAGCATGGAGAGGTTGCAGAAGGAGTGCCGCCGTAGAGCACCATGGTTGTTTCTGGGTATTCCTCTGACAAGCCTGCTTCAGGACCGCCAGGGGTGAAAGCCCGGACGGTTCCGTCCTTGGCTGTGCCCGTGGGTTCGGTGTGGTTTTAAGCATCGGCTGTGGTGGCTGTGCACAGAGGCTTCTGCCTTGGCTGACGAGTGTGGTGCAGTTGCAGTGGTTGTGTTGGTTGCTGGCCGTGGTTATCCTGACTCGATGCAGGTGCCGCCGCAGCTTCCCGGAGCTCTGAAATTGGGGGCAACAGGTCCAATGGCATCCCTTCGGGTAGTTGGCCAAGTTTATGCATGGATAAACCTTCGGAGCTAAAAAGTTGCTAAGGTTTATGCATAAATAAATTTTGGGGGCTTTAAGGCCTTACTTCTATACGAGAAATATTCGCGGATAAACTTTTCTAGCTTCGAGGCTGCCGGGGTTTATCCATGCATAAACCTGGTGGTTTCTGCCACGCAGCTTGGCTGCTCTGCATTGATGCAACATAACACACAGGCCTTGTGATCTAGCTTCTGCTGTTGCTGCAGCCGGAATGCATAGACGTGTCCGACCTCCCAACCGCAGGGGCCAGGCTGCTGCATATACAGTCATACACATAGCCGTGCCCGGCCTCTGCAACTTGTTGCTTTCTGCAGCTGATGCTGCTGCCGACCAACCACACAAGTGATCGGGTGCCCTGGGCATGAAAACAAGTCCTGTGCGGATAGACTTCCGGCGCAGTGTGTCGGTGTGTCTGTGTGTGTGTGTGTTTGTCTCTGTGTCTCTGTAGTCTGTCAGCAGAATATACTATTATATATTATACTACATGACAATGCTATATTGCTATGTATAGTATAGTATAGTATAGTATACAGAATATATTCTACATTGTTCTACATTGTATACTATAATGCACTATACTGTATATACTACTATACAACGATATTATATATTACTATATAATGTATTACGATGTTGGTATATTATCTATTCTTCTATATTACATACATCAACAACAGCGACAACAGCAAGAACAGGACCACCGAGACAACCCCCAGGCACCAACAACAAGAAAGAACCACAGCCACAGCAACAACAACAGTCAGAACAACCACGGAAGCAAGAACAAAACCGTGTGTTTCAGCCTCCCACGTGCACTGGCTCTGCACATGTGCTTCTGCCTGCTGGCGAGCTGACAGCCCTGCCTGCGACTTTGGAGGCTCCAGTGCAAGGATGACGAAAGCCCACAACAAAATAGGTAGAACATCCGAGAGCTTTGGCTCTGCTGCACGGAAATCAGTCTGTGGATGCCACATAGTTACGATGTTCTTCGCCACTAGCTGGTTGCGAAAACTGCAGACCGAGAATCTGCAGACGTGGAGCCTGGAAACCGAAGATCGGGAACGTGTGCTGGAGTGGCTCGTGCTAGGCATTGTTGGAAGCACCATCTACAAAGACGAAGGTGTCTGGATGTCCATCATGGCCGTGGACTCGTGCCACGATGCTGTGCTGGTCCGTGACCACGAGAGCTCCTGTTACATAGCAGTGCAGCTCCAGAGACTTTTTGCTGGTTCACTAGGAACAATGGATTGACTTGTGCTGCGATTCAAAGAAAGCAGCCTGTGCATCATGGCATTTCATGAGTGATTTCTGCCGTGCACTGTAGACTGTCATGCATGAATAGGTCGCAGCAAGCAGGGTGAGCTTTTCAGTTGTGTCTCGCTTGCAGGGCATTTTGCTCGCAAGCAGAGCATACAACTTCGAAGCCGCACCTTTTATCGTAATCATGGCCGTGGTCGCTCGACCGGACGTACAACAGCTGGAAGCGGCATGGAGCGAGCCCAATCAGCTTCTGCCGGGGAACGAGAAGTTCGAGCCTTTGGGATTGTTGAAATGCTATCGTGTCCATGTAGGACACGATTATTTTCCGCATCAGGGATATGCTTGTTACCTGTCGAGGGAGCTGGGCCAGGGAGCTCGCCTTTGGCGATGCGAGCGAGGTGGCCTCCTCAAGTGGATGGTCACTCGGCCAGCTGAGGTCCGGGCCGTGGCAGTGTCCTTGACCGGCCGGCTGAGGTTTGGGTTTCTGGTTGAAAGTGTCGGCTGTGAGCACCGCCATCCGGCACAGCATGCTGGTGGCTGGTCGCATCCAGTCGACACACGTGTTGAAGGTCATGGGCCACAAGCTCCTTGGCCACGGCCGCAAGATTTGGAGCTGCAGCTGGTCCAAGACCATGGCAGCCAAGAAGCTGCCCAAGACACGGCTTTTTCGAAAGACGGATCCGAGGTTTCTCCGTCTGGCCCAGTCCGTGCCACTGTTTTGATTCTTGAATGAGGAGAGGAAAGATCGAGTGCTCAGTGTGCAGGTTGTGTCACTACATACATGTATATGCATGGTTGTCGTGCAAGAAATGCATGCCGGAATCCTGAGTTGTTCGCAGGCAGGGCTTTCCTAGCTCGCCACAGCAGGACAACTTTTGAGGGATTCCTGCTTTCCTCTCGCCATGGCAGCCGCCTTCTTGAACCAGCTCCATGACATGCTCCACAAGCAGAAGCCGATCATGGGCGATCACTTCGACGGCATGCTTGCTGCACAGAAAGACTGTGCCGTGCGAGCCATCTCCCAACACAAAGTGACCATGCAAGAGGCCTCTGAGCTGTGCAGCTTGATCCAGCAAGGGCCCTGGAACGAGAGCCAAAAAAAGGAGCTTGGAAAAGCAGTCTCCAACTCCGTCTCCTCGGGGATGATGGCTGCTGGCAAGAAGAAGAAGGGCAACCAGACCCAGGAAGTCGACAACTTCTTCTGCTTTTTGTCAGCTGAAGACAAGCAAGTCCTGGCCGAGGCCAGTGCTGGAGTGCACTCAAGGTGCAATCATATCGCCGAGATCATGGAGAAGATGGGCCTGTATTGGCCATCGGAGAAGGCGACAGGTCATATCGTCTCAACGATGGCAACACTGCAGTCAGCTGGCCTTGAGTCTCCTGATGATTTTCACGGGGCTGTGAAGAAGCTGAAAACCATCATCAAAAGCAGGCTGAAAAAGAACAAGGATGCCAAGGACAACGAATTTGTGGCCGTGTGCCCGAGATCTACCGCAGTCACTTTGAAAAGGCTGAAGCAGGCGAGCTCCCTGCTTCGAGCCTTGTTGCCCATGGTCCTCTGCGAGGCAGTCACAAGTCCCTCAGCAGCAGCAGCAACATCGTTGGCAACAACATGATGAATCACAGCCTGATGAAGAAGATGATGGCCGACGGCAACGGCATGAGCATGATGGGACTGATGAGCTGCATGTCGACATGCATGCAGCAGTTTCAGCAGCAGCCCAACAGCTCGCAACTGCCAGGCTTCAAGTTGTTGGGAAAAGCCGGTGGCAACGAATCCAGTCCAAATCGGGCTACAAGCATGATGGCGACGACGAGCCCACCGCACGACTCTCCAGAGTCCAGCCATCGTGTTTCAAGCCCGGTGCAGCCTCATCATCAGCAGCTTGCTGTGGCCGCCAGCCCGGTGCAGCCTCATCACCACCAGCTTGCTGTGACCGCAAGCCTGGTGCAGCCTCACGATCAGCAGCTTGCTGTGCCCATGGCTGGGCAGGGGCCTGTGGGTCCGGCCGAGCAGGCTCGTCAGATGCTTGCTGCATGGAATGCAAACAAAGCGGCAGCAGAGGGAGATGAGGAAGATGAGGAGACTGAGAAGCCCCGGAAAAAGCCTGCCGCAAAGCTCCAGCAGACGAAGAGTGTGCAGCCGAAGAAGAAGCCGGCAGCGAAGGCGAAGTCGCAGTCCCAGCCCAAGCTGAGCATCAAGATTCCGAGCATGAGCAAGAGGTTGGAATTGCGACCGAACGGCTGCAGCAAATGCCGCAGCCGACCGGGCTGTTGTCCGTCGTGCTTCAAGAAGTGATTTTTGTTGGCATGCAGACATGACATGTGTTTCTGTATGCGAAGTGAACAGTATATATCTATGTAGATGTATATACAATCTAGATAGGAACGTGTATGCATGTCTATATGCCTTTCTTGCAGACTGTACAGGTGACTTCTGCAGTGATGGCCGTATACACAGACGGCAATGGCCGTGCACGTATACGGCAAGAAATCAGGGGGACTGCAGAGACATCCTGCACCGTCTCAGGTCTATATATGTTTATCTGTGGTGCCATGGTGCACCGTTGTTCCATTCACCCGGGGTTTCAGTGCCATCAGCCTCAACGAACTTTGTGCACGGACAGAACAGTCTCTATGCCGTGTGCACGGAGGCTTGCATGGCAATCTCGTATTATATGCAGCGACTTAGGATTCGACTGAGCCGCAAAATGTGTGGTTTGCCCGCACATGCACATGTGTGCACGAGCGATGTGGATGATAGCTTCGACAGCTTGCATGATGCCCAGAGGATCATGTCCATGTGTTGCAGATTGTAAAGTTCGTGTTTGTATGTACTTTATACACTGTACCAAAGTATATATATATATGTATATACATATGGCATATATTATGACAGTTTATGGGTTTCGTGTATACATATAGATATATATATATATATGTGTGTACATACATATATGCATATATGTATATATACACACATATGCAAGCACACTGCAATGGGGTTTATCCAGAACATGCACATATCAGACAGTCCTGAAACAACTTTGGTCGCTTTTGCAGGGCTGTGTAAAGCTCGCAAGCAGACCACATGGCTTCCCAATCGTCGGGATCCAAATCGGCCAACCCGTTGTCGTACTTGGGAAGGAAAGTTTTCACCACCCAAAGAGCCCTCGCTCAGATCCTGAAGGAGATTCGTGAGCTGGATGAGCTACCTGCAGCTACAGGCCGGAGCTCGGTGAAAAGAGCTCGTGAAGAACTGCTGCATGATTATGCTACCCCTTATGGGCCCATCTACATCGAGCCCACACTTCAGAAGGGAGACGGCACCGATGTTACAATTCCGATTTTGAGTCCAGCTGCAATGCTGGCTTGGGCATGCGAGCACTGTGCAGCCTTCGGCCAGCTCTTGCAGAAGCAAATGGCACTGAAGCCGCCGACCTACGAGAAACCTTGGACTCTGATTTGGTATTCGGACGAAATCGCACCGGGCAATCAACTGAAGCACGTGAACCGTCGCAAGGCCCAGGTCATCTATTGGTCCCTGCAAGAACTGGGAGCCCATGCGATGTCCCGCGAGTCGTGCTGGTTTACCTTGACGGCGGTTCGCAGCACGGTGGTCGCAGACATGGGGGGGATGGCGGTTTTGTTCCGCCAGCTGGCCAGGTTTTTTTTTCGAGACCCCCGACTGGCGGCAGGGACTTCTGGTCAACTGCCCCAGCGGCTCTCCCCCTCTGTTTGCCGATCTGGGAATACTAATCTCAGACGAAGCTGCTATAAAGCAAACCCTCTGCAACAAGGGTGCTTCTGGACTGGTGTTCTGCGTCCACTGCCAGAATGCAGTCGACCACAAGTCGCACGTTGCTGCCAGCAGTCGGGGCACACAGGTATCCAGCCTGGAGACCGACATTTCCAGGTTTCGTCGGCAAACGAAGGAGTCCATCAAAACCTATATGGACTACCTCGCTGAGCAGAAGCCCTTGCAGACCAAGACAAAGTTCGAAAAGCTGCAGACTGCACTGGGTTTTAACTTTAAACCAATGGGCTTACTGGCCCATGCAGCCTATGGCCCCAAGCTGATCGACTGCATTATGTTCGACTGGATGCACGTCTACCTGGTCTCAGGGCTGTTCAATGTGCTGACAGGGCTTTTCCTTGGAGACCTCCATCACAATGGCTGGAAGCACCACGAGATTGAGCGGTTCGCAAGGACTTTCACATGGCCTGCACGTCTGCGAGGTGCTGCCCCGAAGGATGTGTTGCAAAAGAGAGGATCCTACACTGATCCTCTCAAGTGCAGTGCATCGGAGGCTCTGAACTTCATGCAGGTGCTGCGAACCTATCTTGTGCTCTGGGTGCTGCCGCAATGCAACGAGGACATGAGAAACTCATGCGAGGTTTGGTTGGCGATGTGCAAGGTCCTGGATGCTTTGCACAAGATCGCCATAGGAGATCCTTTCCCTGCAGTCCAACTGCAAGTCTTGGTGAAAGGCCATCTGGACCTCGCTAAGACCCGCTACGGTGAGGACTCCTTTTGGGTACCCAAGTGCCATTTGGCACTCCACTTGCCCCTTCAGTTGGCCAAACACTCAGGTCTGATGAGCTGTTTTGTGCACGAAAGAAAGCACAAAATCATCAAGAAAATCACCAACCAAGTACTCGACACAAGTCGGGCCTTTGAGAAGAGCATACTCGATGATGTGCTACATGGGCATTTGCAGCAGCTCGCCGATCCGGCTTTTCTCTCAGGAGATGCTTGCATGCATTATGCATTTATTTCTTCTATATACCACTATATATAGATGTTGTTATAAAAAAGTTCACAACATTTTCTTTCCAGTTTCGTCGTATGCAGTTTAGGAAGGGGTGCACTTGGTTCAGCCTGCGCGACCAGCCCCTGCCAAGCTCCAAGCCGAGCTCCGGCGATGCATGAACATCCAGGGCGAGATCATGACAGCAAACCAGGCTGTGCATGCAGGGAACTTCACAGTTTCGGCAAAAGACCTCGCGGTTTTGCATCTGGATGGTGAAAGGCTTGTCGGCAGGGTGGGCTACCACGTCCAAGCAGATGGGACATGCTGGTCACATGTCACTCTTTGGAACCACGTGCATGGAGCCATGTTCACCCTGTCGGACGATGTGGCCCTTGTAGAAACCAAGCATATCCATGCCACTTGTGCCTTCAGTGTGCAAGGCGGCAGTGCTGTCGTGGTGCTGCCATGAGAAAAAAAGACCTGCCTGCGAGCTTGCAGCCCTGCAATCAATGGCGGTCTTCGTGTAAATATCTCTATAACACGTTCCCTTTTGGGAGGCAAACGGTTGGAAATTGCATGTCTATATATCACAAATCCATCAGCTCTGAAACCACTTAGTTTACTTAGCAGACTTATCTAAGTATGACTTAGCTGCAACGATAAGTTGACTTAGCTATCTATGCTAAATGGAGTTATGCTAAGTGGGATAAGTCAGTTATTAAGTCGACCAACCGAATACTAAGCATGATAACTATTTACTAAGCCCAGCGGGCCTTTAAGTACTAGTTTTGGAAAGAGCGACAGCCGTTGCACGATGCAAATGATCCCAGACTTTTCAAATTCCTTGTGATGTTAATATAGTATAGCTTACTAAGGGATTTGGAAGGCCATGGGGCTCATGTTTTTCTATCCGAAGTCATGATTGTTATAGCTCATTTGCCAGGTACATTGCACTTCGACTCCCCGGGCGAGTGAGAGCGGCTCCACTCGAAATTGAACCTGAACCCCGCCTGTCCAAACCCCCCACTACCTATCACCGAACCCTCAACCCTGTGGCTAGACCCATGCATCATGCATCCGAGCGGGACGGTGTTCCCACCAAATTCGATCGCAGAGCCATGCTATTTTCAAGGTCATATGCTGGAGTTTTCATGCACGCTTGCAGAATTGCTTCCCTACAGTGGACGAACATGGCCATGAACACACGTGCTGGAAACGAAAGCTAGCTGGTCAAGAGTTGGGAGCTTTCGGCATGCTGCTCGAAATCCGAGGGGGTTGGTTGTGTTATAAACAGACATTTGGGCTCCCCAATTGGGCAGAGGCCAATTGTTGCTGCTGTTGGAGATGCGATTGCACGGTCAGACATATGAGAGAAGTTGGCACGGACGCCACCTGGCGACTACAACTTTCCAGTTGGGACGACTTGTGCATGTTTGTACTGGACAGGCGGGCCAAGGATTATATATCTCAGCTTCGTGATCGACCTGTTACATACGTCCGACCTAGGAGTAGCTTCGGACTTCGCAGGCAATGTGATCTTTCTCGAAGCCGATCGCCATTTTGGCGGTTCCTCCTTTGATGAAAGGATTGCCGCCGTGTGGATGGACATCAGACAGTGGTATATAAACCACTAAGACCGACAATCAGTTTGGGTCGATCACCCCCACCATGGTACGAGCCGAAGCAAGCAAGTCGCCCAAGCTGAAGGGCAAAGCCTGCAAATCCGCGGCTTGGTTCCTTGAAATCAGTGACACAAAAACTTTTTGCTGGTGCTTCGCCTTCCTCAGAGGAGGCTGCAGTTCGGGAGGCAGCCGTGCACCACCCACCACCCACCAGCTGGACCTGTGCTACCAGGATCCAGCGCCTCTCGCCTGCAGAGTTTGATGCCTGCCTTGAGGACTGCATGCAGGCGATTCTTACTTCTCTATGTGGCCTTGGAGCAATCCGTGGGAGAAGAAAACGAGTGTCGATGGCGCTTTAAACCAAAGTTTCACCTCTTCCAACACTGTTGCGACAGCACACTAGCGGCACCGAGTTTGTACTGGACTTATACCGACGAAACGTGGGGTGGGAAGGTGGCCACCGTGCTGACGAAGTTCCGAGCACAAAACAAAGTGCCAGAGCTGTGCTCGCTGCCTCGCAAGAAAAAGGTCGATCGACCATGCTTGAGGGCATGCATTCAATTTTCACGGTTATGCAAAAATAGGCTGGCGATTCAGGAAGTTGTATATACACTGCATTTTAATACGATCTATACTATATACATTCCATTGCTGTTCTTCTGATACTATTGATTTCTATATACTATTGATTCTGATACTATTTTTATGATGCCTGCATGGTTTTTCATGGTTCGAGCTCGATCGAGAACAGTATATATGTTCGCGAGATTGCCACCCATCATATCAGTCAGCTTCGCTTGCAAACAATCTTCTGCAAACAGAACTATGCCCATTTTTTGGTCACTTCGAACAGAAGCATTGGATATCGAGATGTCATCCTGGGCATTCCAAACGATCTGTTGCAAACAGAACAATGCTCAAAAAATTGCTGCTTCGAACACAAGCATTGAAACTCGAGATGTCCGTCCTCATGGTCGTGCAAGAGTACGGTGTTCTGTCGGCCTTTTGTCTTCGATCGATCATGCATATGCGTACATAAAAAACCTTTCTTAAATTAAGGTGTGTTGCCACGCCACATGCAACGAAAACCTTGTTTATTAGTCTGTTTCAAATAAGTGCCAATACACCTAATAATTCTTTTTTGGAACAATTAAGACATATTGGATGCTTTGGGTGCTTAGTCCTAGAGTCCGAAGCTAGCGGTATTTACGGTGTTTTCTGCACTTCAGATTCCGGTTCTGGCTTCTGGAGTGTGGAAGAGTCGGCAGGATAGATAGCCTCCTAACCACGTGCAGAATTCAGAGTTAAAAAACTGAGTGGTTGGCTCACAACTTTGGCGGAATCGCAGCGCACATAAACATGCGGATGCGCAGCGGAAGTCAATAATGCCTTCCCTGGCCAACTCGCGAGGTCCCATCTGTCGTTTGCCATGGCAGACTCATGTCTGGCATAGCTGACTCTGCTGAAGTGGCAACAGGTCAATTCGCCAAATCCCAGCGGTGTATGTTTGTGCGATGCGAGTGCAGCTTTTTTTTTACTATCCTTGTTTTGGGGTGGGAAACCATTCAAGCATTTTCGATTGAAGCATGAAAAAAAACTTTGACGTACGAGTTTACCATTATGATGGCGTTGAGGATATCGGACCCAGCAAACAAAAAGAGCAAGCATTGAGCTGCCTGACATTCCTGGCAAATGCTGGGAGTGGTGACAGCATGCGCAGGCGCCGGGCATCGTCGTCGAAAACCTCGGCGGAAGAAGTCCCAGGCTTCCCAAAACTACGCACTGCTTTGCATAGCATGCAAAGCCAGCAACTAGCTGGCAGGTGTAGACCAGTCGGGCTTCAATGAACTCCCGCAAGTATGCCTCTGGCACCTGACTGAGTTTTATGCACCCATTCCGCTCCCACAGAAACGAAACGAAAGCATTCTCAGCCACACTAATTCCATCACGGTGTGCCAGCTGCAGAGCGCGCGGCACGCTGCCTGCAAGCAGCGAGGTCTGCACAAAACAATCTCACAGGTTTCAATTCCACAGCCGCATCTGTGCTGGGGAAGAAGAAAGCACGAAGAACCAGCCTCGAGCACGGTGAAGAAGTTGTGCGGCACGGCGCAAGCCCAAGCGAGGCAGCGAGGGCAAGTAGTCCTAATCATCCAACTTGATTACTGGAACAACTCGGTTGAGCATCCTCCATTGTGAGCCCAAGTAACACAGCCGCTCAGCACGCAAAGGTCTGGAAGGGTTTCCTGAGCCCGGAACTTTACTGAAGATGTGTGGGCTTGCTTCACGGGCGGTCTGCTCAGCACAGTTGTGACAAGACTCCGGTGTCAGACGGTAGGGCGTCAGAGTTCGGCTTTTGCCTGAAAATCTTCGGCCATTTCACTCGGTCGAACCACTACCTGATACAAAGCCCAACCCGAAATACACTGTCCTATGTCGGCCAAGCGAACTTCTTGACCGCAACCTCTGCGAACGTCCTCTGAAAGACCAACAGTAAGGGATCGGTGGGGGAACCTTGTGTTTGGAACCGTGAACACTCCACTTCAGATGCGGTCCAGACCGAACAGGACTCGCGGGCAGCCGAAAGCTAGCAGGTCCACGTCTTCACTCACCTGTGCTCTCGACGCCAAACAAACACACAAATCACCTACTTGAGCGCAGATTGGAAATTTCCCGCTGGCCAGGCGACAACCGCATCAACACGTCCCGAATGAGCAAGGAAGGCCAATTGTGCATCGGCTTCGCCTCAAAACAGTTCTGAGGGTTCCATGCCCCGTTGAGTTTTGGAGAATCTGAAACCAATGGACTGTGAATGTGACATGACCCTTCTTGCTGCATCTAGCCACAAGGAGCCACGATACACTTCACCCCGAGCGGACTGAACTGCTCGATGCAGGCAGCTGCCATTTCCTGGCAATGATCGTTTAAATGCGTCCTCATGGTTCGCGCTGGTTGTTCGGACTGACGGCTCAACTGAAACCTTGCACGTGAAGCCTGCTTGCTGTCTTGCAAAAAACGGTTCTAGGCTGCAGTTGCAGTGACTATACCAGCATAATAACAGACACACGCTAAACTGACCCATGAACTTCACTGAAGCGAAACAACTCTGCCCAAACTATGTCCGGCGTGATGTCCACAGCGCCGCACAGACGTCTGGCCTTGACGGATGGGGGACTGAGCAAAAACACGAGCCTCGCTGCAAAACCAAAATGCTCTCCGCCTCCTGCGTGTGCTCGTACAATGATTCGAGAATCAAGACCCCTTCGTTCTGTTGAGGAGCGTTCCAAAGGTTTAGAGGCAAGCGTGAAGATAAGATGAAGCAAGCAGCAACTCGAATCCGAGAGTTCAGAACCCAGTATACGTGGCAGACGCATGTAGGTCCAAGGGGCGGTGGAACCGGCCACTGCCGCCATGCGCGCTGCTTCCTCACGCGCCTGCCAGACGCGTGCTCTGTCGAGACAACATGCCAAGGCGCAGCAAGCACTGACAACCTTTTAATCTGCTGCAAAGACTTTGCGGACTTGGGGCTTGATGTGAAGAAGCCTGAAGCGGGCACCTGTCTGCGTGCAACCTCCGTCGCACTCTTGGCAGGGAGCGGTGCCCCATCGAAAACAAAAAAGGGTTCCTCGGTGTTGGAAATGCACGTGGAGGTTCTCGTAGCATACCCGCGAATTTCCACAACACATGTTCTTCAAATCTTAAAGCCAACACAACACTGCTGACTCGGTGGATTTCTTGATGCAGAACTGTTGTCAATGTCTTCGAAAAAGAAGAACCCGCCCAACATGCTGCCCAGGCGCAGCACCCGCCTGCTGCAGGAGGTCAAGAAGCTCCCGTGCCGGCCTTCCAAACTTCACCATCTGAAGTCTCTTGAAATTACCATCATAAGGAAGCCATATCAGTAAGTTCACCATAGTTTTTGTTATTATTGATTCTTCCCTTATTACTACCATTATACTAATTACCAACAGAACTCCTCCAACCCCGTGACCGATCCTCGACAGCGCTGCCACACAGGCCGCAGAGGTTTGGAAACTCGATGGCACCTCAAACGCAAGTTGACTCGGCGTTTTCGAAACTGCATTGACAACTTCCTTTATGCTGCCTGCAAAAAGCCTAAACATCCTCATTGCAATCCTTAAGGACACTTCAATCAGTCGCCGCCTTCTGACATTATAGTTGCTACTATTGCCGTTTTTATTACTGTTGGTGTTCTCCGTTTTTTAATTATCCCCTAAACCCCTACACCCTAAACCCCTAAACTCACAAACCCAAAACCCCTCAACCCCAAAACCGACCAGCTAGCGGGGCACCAAAAACCCAGGCCCCTGGGAGGATCTAGAAAGCAGATCCCCTAGGGTCCCTTAAAGGGCTCCTTTAAGGGATGCTTTAGGGTTTAGGGTGTAGGGATCTACAAGGGAAAGTAGATCCCCTAATTTGGGGCCCCTTTTCTACGAAGGGTACTTTATTCTGGGAACCCGAGAAGGCTGGGCCTCCGGCTGATGCCTTGAAAAGGCTCTCGGCATCGGGAGTCTCACGCAGGAGGGCCTGGCTCCCAGAGACTCCAATATCCCTTAGTTAAGGAATATTCCTTAAGTTATGGTTGGATCCCTAGTATGATTTAAGCTATATTCCTTAACTTAATAAGGATATTGGAGTCTCTAGGCTGTTAGTTTTCGAAATGGGAGTTTCCGGAAATGAGGGGCGGGTCCCCCATATTAAGGAGCCTATTATTTAGGCGGGTCCCCTCTATCTTCGGAAACTCCCAAATCAGGGTTCAGGGTTTGGGGTATTAGGGTTGAGAGTTTCGGGGTTAAGGGTTAAGGGTTTTCGAACTGAAGCCAAAATTCTGTCAACTGTGGGGGAGGCTGACGGCTGATGTGCGGAAACTTCTTCCAGCAGCCTACTAGTGGTGGAAATCTGAAGTTCATGATTCCCTTAGGGCCTCGAAACCTGCACCCTCGTCAACGTCTCTGCCTCGACATAGCCCAGTTTCCCTCGATGGAGCAGGCAGTAAGCATCCTCAGCAAGAGGCACCACTTGCACGATCACCGCGAAAAGTAATCTTTATGATACAGAGGAGTACTGGCAACTGTGAACACGAAAGTAACATGGGTGGTTGTCAAAATTATGGTCCCTATTTGGGTCCTTAATATAATACGGCATGTAATATTTAGGGTACCCAAAAAGGGGCCATAATTTTGACAACTACCCACATAAAGCCAGGAGCTATCCCCACAGTGAGCCCACGGTACTCGGACACGTGCACCGGCCTTTGCACCTGGGACTCGGTGCTTTTTGGCCAAGACTTCGGTCAGCTACAGAATGTTGTTGGCAATCCTACACTTCGAGGGGCTACTTGTTCGGGATCAGGGTCTGTTCAACACAGTGGAGCATGTTTGGGGATTGGGGATCTCCTAGCATCAAGGCTACCTGTGCCAATAAGAAAGAGCAACTAGTGTGCTTAGTCTCTAAGACGTTTAAAATCGAAGATCCGAAAGGTCTGGATGTTTGGATCTTCGCGCACTTCATCAGTGGCTGACAAGGCACATCGCTGAGTGCCTTCAGCAGTCCAGGCACGCCCATAGTGATTGATGCCACAACAAAGACATCGAGTCAGCTCAGAGGTACGGCATTCGAAGTCCGCTAAAGGCTTGGAAGAGCATAGGGCTGAGGGACGATTTTTCAGCTGCAGGTCAAAGCAGCACGATGTTGCGAGAAAGCTGCTCCAGAAACTGCCCTCCTTGACTTGCAGCTCCAACGAGGTTCGAAACTCCGAGGAATAGTGGAAGCTACTTTGAAGTCCCGCCTCCTGATCCTTCCAAAACCTCAAACTTGTGAATGTAGAGTCCTTCATACCAAAGTTTACATATCATGTGGAACCTTGATGAATAGTATGGGTGATTGTTTAGGCTTCATATTACAGTGTCCTCATGGCCACCGTGCTTGCTGTTTTCTGCGTGTGCTCTGTAAAGACGCTGCGGGACACGGGCTCACCAGACTCTGGCAACTGTGACTTGGAATCCCCTCCCCCATCACCTAGTTTTGGGGCGTGAATAAATGAATAGGTATCATTGTATAATTATGGGGGGAATGTAGGGGATACTACTAATTACTATCTACCCGACCCTGACATTAACCAGATCCTTTCCTCACTGTAGCAAGCAACCTTAGGTCAACCGATATCGGATTCAGTGTATCTCTGACAACGCAACTCGAGCCTGCTGCAGATCTCTGATTACTGCTGAGACTGACGACTTCGAGCTCTAATTCTGAGGCGAGTCTCTGTCCTCACCAGAATTTGGCGTCATGTACACTCGGATGATATGATGTGATATGATGTCTTACTTTTACAAATCAGAACGTATTGTATTGTATTATATTACATCTCTTGACACTTCGCTTGTGGGACCTCAGCCTACCCGAGTTGAATAAACAATGACAGCACGAAGAATTTCTCAACCTCAGGGAGACAGCCCTTCAAACGTGTGCGACGCAGAATGTGAACCACTTTCTGCATGGACAGATCTTTCAGAAGCTGCTTCGTGATGCACAGGCTCCCCGGTCTAAACAAGGGGAAGTGGTTGGATTTTCATACTACCACTCCTTCACAGGACCGGAATAACCTGACTCAAGCCTCGACAAATCCCGAAGCGGAGGAACTCCAAGTGGGCCTAAGCTGTGCTGTGAGCTCGCAACCACGGCCTCAAGGCGAATCGTCTTCAGAGCATAGATTTCGCCTGCGGAGTCCTTCAGTGACACTCAGAAACAGAAGACCCATACCATCGCAGAACCACAGTGCCAAAGCAAAAGACAGGGCACAACTCAAGTCACACTCACAACGCTGCAGTCATGATGCTTTACGGTCGAGGGCGGCAAGTGGCAGCGTGAGGAGGTCTCACATTTAAATGGTGAGTGACTGATGTTTCTGTTGTTTAGTGCTCGGCAATGCTTGCCTGAAAAACGGGAGCTGTTTTGCTGAGCTTCTACACGGAAGCTTCCCACCAGGCCATATCATCCTTGTCTTGAGTGCTAAGCTCAACTACTACCCAACAGCACAAAAGCTACGAGCCTGCGCTTTGTACACGACGCCATAAGTTCCTTCTCCCACCTCCCACAGGGCGTGTCTCCCAACGCTTCGGGTCAAAAAAGGCATTAATAATTAGAATAGGGATTAAGGGTATGTACAAGTGTAATTCTACTAAAGAACCTTCAGGAAAAGTTTTGCTAATATCCAGGTCTTTTTGTTATCAGTTTGGAAGGTCCTGGACCATAAACCCTAAACCCTACACTCTATACACCACTTTGAGAGGTGAGGATTTTTGCAGTGCGGTCGAAGCGGTGAGCCTTTCCGGCCTACCTTTGAAAGCTCCCGGAGCCGAGAATCCAGTACTCTGTGGACGGTTTAGAGTTGCAGGATATTGGAGTCTCTGAGCTCATCTGAAGCAGGGTTTGTATTGCTGTATCCCCGTACCTTAAGGACGAAATGAACCCTAAAAGGGTTGAAGGTTCATATACCATATAGGGTTTCATAGCATATGGGAAAGGGGCCCCTACTTTTAAGGGTCATTTGGTCCTTCAGGTAATTAAATCCCAGACAAGTTGATTTCGACACATGCCGGCGCGCAGTTTGCTTTATGGCCATGTCCAATGAAGGTTTGGAACTAGGCCTTCTATGGATGCTGGACACAAATATCGTAAAGCAGATTAAGCATTGATAGTCCGTACTCAAGAGTTAGTATAGCCTGCAGAGAACTTTCTTCGAACACCAGTTCAGTTGGGGCGTGTCCCCGAAACCAAATTTCGCTGGCAGGTGCAGATTGTGGCTCCCAAGGCCGATGTCCCAAAAGCTTGCATCTCGAAGGTCCCGGGAAACGGTGGTAGGAGGAATGAGGCCTTCTCAATCTTCTGGTACTGATCCATGCTGCCAGCCTCGACTGTCGAGCACTGTTGGGAGAAAGTGAGTCGGGTGCCTACAAAGTTCAGGGTCAAGATCAGGGACCTATTGCAAACATATTCGAGGCTTTTTTTGCGGAGTGTTGGTACCCGTCTGCGTTCTCAAACTAAAGGCACCCACCCTGTTGACAGGCGACCTTTGAACCGTTTGCCCGTGAGCCTCTTCAGAGGCTCCCCAGATCAACTTGGATTGGCTGGCCTATGTAGAGATCCAATGTCTCTGCTTGCGAAACAACGGGGTGATAGGCTTTGACATGATGTAGCAGCAGCACACTACAGTCAACGCGAGTGCACTCTGATGTTCCGGATTCGCGAACCCAGAGCCCTAAATCCTCAAAAAACCCTCTGCACACTGAACACCGGAACTCCTACAGCCTTAAACTGTGAGTCCCAACTCCCAAACTCAAACTCCCCCGACCGATATACAAGTCCACTATACCCGTGCAAAGCCCTGCAGGAGGTGGCCTGAGATAACCACAGGCGGCGGCACGGAATTCTGACCCGTGCGCAGAGCCCAAAAGCAGCGGCACAGGAGCCGTTCCAACTACTCTCGACAACAAGTGCATTCAGAATCCTGACTTCGGCTGGAAGAACATATTCTTTTCCATGGAGTCGTGGGTTCGAGAATTTGCTGACCCAGGATGCAGCCACAGACTGGGCTTCAGAGAGCATCTTATGAGTCTGGGGTGTTAAGGCTTTTTGACTTTGAGCTCGGTTTGTGCCGTGGGTTGCTTTCTGCATGACAAGGCGAATTTTCCAAACCCCGACAGCAACCAATACGTCTGTGCCTACATTTATATACACATAGTTATAATGCTATATATATATATATATATATGGGCGCACCCCTATTTGGGGTCCCCTTCGTTTTTCGCTACATCACCTGACTGAGCTATAACCACCAGACTAGGTTATAACCAGCCGATTAGGTTATAACCAGCCGACTAGGTTATAACCATTCGAATAATTTATAATCAGGTATACATTATCGATATTTCAGTTTTTTCCAACAAGCGTGCTGTACTCATTAGTCTGGTTCAGTCATTCCTTATCGCGAACTAAATCTTGAAACGAAAAGTTTTCCATCTTTGTACTGTAATGCCGCAATCCCATCAAAGTCTCTGTTGTTGGGCGCATTGCTATGACCTTTTGGCAAACTGATAGCTTT